CGCCACCGACCGCGCTCTCCGCTGCCCGCAGGCCCGCACCGCTGGGCGGCCGCCGGCTGGAGCGGGCTGCGGCCGCGCTACGAGCACGCCACCTTCCTGCCCGCCGCCGCTCCCCCGCGCCTCTGGGTCTTCGGCGGCGCCCACCCGGGCGGTAACCGGAGCTGCGTCCAGGTGCTGGACCCGGGTGAGTGCCGGGCACCGGCGGCTCCGGCAGCGGGGGCTCCTCTCCGGGTGCGGGGCTGCGAGGGGGTTGCCGTGCGGCGGGGGAACCACAAAGCCGCTGCCCGGGTCCCTCACGGCGGCGGTGCCTCGGGAGGTGTGTGTTACCGCCCTGATCGCTTTGTGAATCCAATCTCTTAGAAATAGGAAGGTGGGAGAGCCCCGAGGTGCGGGGCCCGCAGCCTCTGCCCAGGACCTATCACACCTCCTCGGCGGCTGTAGGGGACTGTCTGTACGTGTTCGGAGGGGGAGAGAAAGGAGCAGAACCCGTCAAAGACCAGCGGCTTCACGTGTTTGACACAGGTACCTCTGGGGATGGGAAGGCTGTGCTGTCAGACGGGAGGTCTGTCCCTCAGATTCAGTCAAAGCCATGGACATGTTGGGCCTCTGCTTTGGTGACAAGTCTAAACGGATGGATGGCTGTTTCTTGCTGCTGACGTGCACTTATCTTTGTGTAGTCTCTGGGGCTTTGGGCCAAAATGAGGGTGTAGGGCTCTGGGCTGAGAAATGCGGTGGGAGACGGGAGTGGTTTGTCCCATTTCCCCAACAGTGCTTTCTGTGCTGGCATCACCCTGTGCCACTCGGGTGCTGCTGGAGTTGTCCCCTTCATTCTTGCAGCCCTGTGTGCATCAGAAAGGGTTTGCTTTCCAGTTTGAATTAATCTTTCCTGCTCCTGGGTGGCCCAGGCAGCTCACAGAGCTCCATGGAAGGGCTTGGTGTGGCGTTAGCTCTGACCCCGCTGGAGGCGCTTCCTCGGGGAACCTCAGCAGGGTCCTGGGGTCACTGGTTTTAGAGCTTCCAGAATTTTCTTCCTAATGCACGTGTACTCCCATTTTTAGCCACCTTGACCTGGTCCCAGCCAGATACTCATGGGGACCCCCCCTCTCCTCGGCAGGGACACGTTGTGGTTGCAGTTGGGACCAAACTCTTTGTCCACGGGGGTTTATCCGGTGACGTGTTTTACAACGATCTCTTCTGCCTCGATACCAGTGAGTACGGAGAGAGGCTGCAGAGCAATAGCTGCTGTGTGGTGTGCCTTGATTCTGTGAGCTAAAAGATCACTTCTTCAGTGCTTAAAATACTACCCTGATTGTTTAAAACACCTAAACTTGTGGGGTTTTTGTAATGCATAACCCCAGACTTCTTCTTTTTCCAACAGATGAGCTGAGGTGGGTTAAGATTCCAGCCACCGGCGACGTCCCGGGAGGACGGGCGTCCCACTCCTCAGCTGCCTTCAAAGAGCACTTGTACATTTTTGGTGGAATCGGTGCAGAGGGGACGCTGGATACTACGTACAAGTATCACACAGGTAGGGAGGGTCCTCCGCTGGGGGTCGGGGAACTCATTACCCCCTCAGCTCCTGGGGGTCACCCCCCAGTAGTGATTATCTCTGCACTGGAGTTACACCAGCACAAGACTAAATGCTCTGTGATGTTGAAAACGGATCTGGTTAACCATGTCACTGCCTCAGGATGCTTTTTAAGCCCGTGAAGCTACATTTAAAGTGGTGAATGTGTGTGTTTGCACCGCAGAGAAGCAGCAGTGGACACTCCTGCGGTTTGAATCCCCCCTGCCCACGGGGAGGCTGGACCACGCCATGTGTGTCATCCCCTGGGGGGCTGGGGCCAGCGGAGAGGAGGGAACTGCCACCCGGGAAAAGGACGCTGGGGAAGAGTTGTCCGTGTCAGCGGGGGACAGGGCTGAGCCCCCGCAGGGCAGCGCTGAGGCCCCCGTGGAGCACCTGCTGCTGGTCTTTGGTGGGATGGACACGCAGGGGGAGATGTTTGGGGACTGCCTGGTCAGCCTCATCCAGTAGCGGGGCTGCTGTCCTGCACTGCGCCGCCTTTCCTATGCAGTTTTTATACTACTGTTGGATTTAATTAATTCTTCTTTCCAATAAACAAATTCTTGCCCTCAGAGGGGTGGCACTGTGCTGATGCACCCGAGGTATAAGCCTTGCAGGGACAGTGTCCCCAGAGCCTGGGGAGGTGTGTGCTGTGCCTCAGCAGCTTCCCTTGGGAGGAAACACACACTGCTGGCTACAGGAACACCCCTGTCCCACAAGCATTGGTGTTTTCTGGGAAAAAAGGGGCTTGGGGGGGTGATTTGGTTTTTAGACTTTCACTATTTTGAAAATGAGTGAATGAAAACCAGATAGACTTGTCCCCCCAACTAGGGAAAGTGCTGAGGGGCTTTAGGGTGGTATTAGAGCAGGCACCACAAAAAGCTCCTGTTCTCAATTCAGTTCCTTACCTAATCCCATGGATCAAGTAAGGATCATGGTCCAATAAAGAGACTGTTCCAATTAATTTAAAAAGAAATAATTTATTAGGTATAGTCTTCAGAGCACAGCTGTTTCATGTGAGATTCTAAAGCTCCTAAAAGATAGTTTTAATGCTGCAGGGAGCATCTTTAAGCCCAATCTCCTCTCCCTCACACACTTTGTGCTTAAGGCAACAGATCCCAAACCCCTGGAGCCATTTGCAGCTGGAATAGACAGAGCAGGGACCAGAGCCCTCTGTCAGCACCCAACAGGCCAAGGTCAGGTTCCCCCCCCATCAGCTGATCTGGATCAGAGCTCTGTGCTGTGACCAGGGAATGGAAAAACAAAACTAGAGCAGAGTCCAGTGTAAATAACAAATTTATTGTGGTCGCTTCCGGTAGAAAAGTTCTACACCAAACCCACAAGACCGAGTTGTTAAATAGACCCTTCTGCTGCCAATACTTCTACCCCAGGTCGCATTTACACTCCCCCCCGGCGCCCCCTCCCTCCCCAGACATCAAGCAACTGCTAACGAAAAGCAGTATAGAGCCACGTCGGGCTAGCGTTTCCAGCTCCACTCACGAGTGAAGATTCAGAGTTACATTCCAAATTAAGAGTTCAATATTTTAAACAAGTGTTCCTGAGTCCAATATATACACACACAACATTCGGAGATGTCACCGGTATCTACAACTCATCCTTCTCTGCTGCTTCCTCTTCCCCAGGGGGAGGGCCCGCGCTGCCGTAGAGCTTGCTGACAATGGGCTGAACCACTTCCTCCAGCTCCTTCTTTTTTGCTTTGAAGTCTTCAATGTCTGCATCCTGATGGCTCTCCAGCCACTCGATCTTTTCCTCTACTGCTTTCTCTATTGTTTCTTTGTCTTCCGATGACAGTTTACCACCCAGCTTCTCTTTGTCCCCAATCTGGTTCTTCAGTGAGTACGCGTAGCTCTCCAGCTCGTTCCGGGAGTCGATGCGCTCTTTGAGCTTCTTGTCTTCCTCTGCAAACTTCTCAGCATCATTCACCATCCTCTCGATCTCCTCTGGCGTCAGCCGGTTCTGGTCGTTGGTGATGGTGATCTTGTTCTTGTTCCCAGTGCCCTTGTCCTCAGCCGTGACACGCAGGATGCCGTTCACATCGATCTCAAAGGTGACCTCAATCTGGGGGACACCACGGGGGGCAGGAGGGATCCCGGTGAGATCAAACGTTCCCAGAAGATGATTGTCCTTGGTGAGGGGACGCTCGCCTACGAGACACAATTAGATCCAGTTTATTTCTTTCCTTATACCCTGTGAAACCACTAGTCACACACTTTATAAAGGCACATTTTAATTTCAGCTTCACATCTGTCCTACAGTCTGGCCTCACACTCTGCAGAGCTCCTCAGAATTGCAACCATGGGGAAAAAAAACCACACACATTAGGGAAAAACTCTAGGAACAGCTTTTGCTGCAGGTCAAGAAGCCTGATCAGAGCAGCTTCAGAGAGCTCACACCATCACCCAGCTCTTCTCCAGGAGGAGATACCCATAAAGCACCTGAAATTATCTACATCCTTTGTGACCAGAGAGTAGCCAAGTGTGACAGCTGGCATCTGTCTATAGGACTTTCAGATGGGTCACCACCGGTGCCACTTACCTTCATAGACCTTGATTGTCACAGTTGGCTGATTGTCAGAAGCTGTAGAGAAGATCTGAGACTTCTTTGTGGGAACAACAGTGTTTCTTGGGATGAGCTTAGTCATCACACCTCCGACGGTCTCAATGCCGAGGGTCAGAGGGCAGACATCGAGCAACACCAAGTCACCTGTAAGAGACCAAGGGCAAGACTGACATGACTTCAACCTGAAAGGAACACAGGTCCCAAGGCCTTCAGAAGCTCTAAGCTTCTTAAGGACTGGAAAAGAAGTTATACTATATTTGTCAGTAACCAATATCCACTACTCAGGGTCAAGGCGCTCGAGTGGCAGTGAAGGTGTTACCTGTGTCCTGGTCCCCAGAGAGAACTCCAGCCTGGACAGCGGCGCCGTAGGCCACAGCCTCGTCAGGGTTAATGCCACGAGAAGGCTCCTTCCCATTGAAGAACTCTTTAACGAGCTGCTGTATTTTGGGGATGCGAGTGGAGCCACCAACAAGAACAATCTCATCAATGTCAGACTTCTTCAGGTCAGAATCTTCCAGGACTTTCTGAACAGGCTTCATAGTGGAACGGAACAGGTCCTAGGAAGACAAAAAACCCCAGAACTGTAAGACTGTATTCCCACATGCCCAGCCCCTGAATTGTGCAGCCCCAGGCAGGAAGGACAAGCACTACAGAGGAAGAACATCAACTGGCTCATGACCAGCCTTGAAGAGGCCTCAGCTGTCATTAACACACACAGCCCCAGCCACCCTGGCAAGGAGCAGCTGCCTGGTGTTTAGTGCAAGCAGAAGTTATTTATACCCTGAAGTGCAATGTCACAGCATGAACTACTGCCCTTTGACAAGTCTCCAGCCTAGAGCTGAGGCGTGTGCCGTTACCTTCCTAAACTTACCATGTTCAGCTCCTCAAACTTGGCTCGAGTCAGTGTCTCTGAGAAATCCTCTCCTTCAAAGAAAGATTCTATTTCAATTCTAGCCTGGTGCTGAGATGACAGGGCTCGCTTTGCCTTCTCCACTTCCCGTCTCAACTTCTGCACAGCTCTGTTATCCTTCCTGACATCTTTTCCAGTTTTCTTCTTGTAGAGTTTGATGAAGTGTTCCATAACACGCTGATCAAAGTCTTCTCCACCCAGGTGAGTGTCACCATTAGTAGCCACAACCTCAAAGACTCCATTGTCAATGGTGAGGAGGGAGACATCGAAAGTTCCACCACCCAGGTCAAACACGAGGATGTTCTTCTCGCCCTCTCTCTTGTCCAGTCCATAGGCAATGGCAGCAGCTGTTCTGTACAGGGAACAACAGCTCCTTCAGAGAACTGGGAGAGCTGCCCCCACCTCCCCCCAGCAGGACAGGCCTCAGCTACTTACGGCTCATTGATGATTCTCATCACATTCAGCCCAGCGATGGTCCCAGCATCCTTCGTAGCCTGACGCTGAGCATCATTGAAGTAGGCTGGCACAGTGACAACAGCATGGGTAACCTGAGTGAGGAAATGCAATTTTGTTATAGAAATGTAGAAAAAGCATATAAATAACCACAGCGATGCTGCTAACAAGCAGCCCATTGGTCTTTAAAGAGAGAGAAAACCCAGCCATCAGCTGAGCTGATTCCACTGGGCTGCCCAAGGACCAGCAGCACTAAACAGTGTCCAATTGCAAGGTCAGTCCACAGAATGAATCCCTCATCTTTAGTTTTGTAAAGCTGGTCCTTTAAGTTCTTACTGGTAGCAATCATAACTTACCTTCTTGCCCAAGTAAGCCTCTGCAGTCTCCTTCATCTTTGTCAGGACCATAGCAGAAATTTCTTCAGGAGCAAATGTTTTTGTCTGTCCACCTCCAACATCAACTTGAATATGGGGCTTGGCTTTCTTCTCAATAACCTAGAAAGAAGAATGGATACTGTCATGTTTAACAAATTCATAGAATTATTCTTAGTCGACCTAGTGTTGCTTTCTCTCTAAATGTTAAGCCAAGCCTCTATATAACAAGACATGACTTGAATGCTAGCTAACACAAGGAACTGCTGTCCACACACCACAGCCACACCACTGCCCCCTAACCCCCTCCAGAGAGCTCGGGGACTGCAGGCTTGCTCAGAATGTTTCAGTAGCTTCTTCTGTCCAGACATGCAGGGCCCCCCCTCCCGCCATCCACCCCCCGGGGGCCCACCTTGAAGGGCAAGTACTTGATGTCCTGCTGCACAGACGGGTCGTTCCATGTGCGGCCGATGAGCCGCTTGGCATCAAACACGGTGTTCTCGGGGTTGGATGTAAGTTGGTTCTTGGCGGCATCCCCAATCAAGCGCTCCCCCTCGGGTGTGAACGCCACGTAGGACGGCGTGATGCGGTTCCCCTGATCGTTGGCGATGATTTCCACCCGGCCGTTCTTAAAAACGCCCACGCTGCGGGGGTAGCGGAGCAGTCAGGCGGCGCTGAGGTCTGCACCCCCCTCCCGAGGCTCCACAACCCGCTTCCCCCCCCCGCCCCACCCCGAGGGCCCGCAGGCCCAGCCACCCCCCCACCCCGCGGCCCGGCGCTCCCCGAGGGCCCGCAGGCCCAGCCGCTTCGCATCCTCCCTCCCGCGCCCCGGGCCCGTTCCCCACGCACCAAGAGTAAGTGGTGCCCAGGTCGATGCCCACCACCGTGCCCACGTCCTCCTTCTTCTCCTCGTCGTCCGCCCGCGCGGCGCTCACCAGGAGCAGCAGCGCCAACAGATGGTGCCTCATGTCGACCGCTCGCCCGCAGCGCCCTGCCGAGAAGCCGCCGGTCACAAAATGGAGGCGCCACGTGCGCGGCCGCCAGCGCCGCCCCCCCTCAGCCGCCGCTCCCCCCGCATCCCACCGGCCGGACTAGGCCGCCCCGGGCCCGCAGCGCCGCCCTTACCGTCACCGCCGAACCGCCGCACCCCCGACTGCTGCTGAGCGCCAGGCCGCGCCGCCCGCCCTTATATACCTTCCGTTACTCCTTCGTGGAGCCTCTTCATTGGCTGCGGAGCCCTCGCTGGAGCCTCTCCATTGG